AATGAAGATAATTTATCTGTCTTTTGAATCAGTATTCCTTTTGAACTACGTACTGTTTCCTTGTAGTGAGATTACATTTGAAAATGTTCAGTTCTGTGGAAATCACTCCCAATTTCGTGAAGTTTTGTAAGGGCTTAAATACTCTCCATATACTGGGAAGTGGGACAAATGTTTAAAACGGCGATGAAAATGACAATCGTAGTGACATGAAAACCAGTCATTCGAAGTCGCCGTTCATTTTTCTGACTTTGTGACTGCTAGTTATTTCACTCTAATAATGGTGCTTGCGCGCTATTTTTAGGGAAGGTTTACAGTAGTGTCAATAGTACGGCTGACCGACACTGCAAGGGAACATGCTGGCACTCATAAATCGTTATACGAAAACGCATTTAACATGGTACTCAATGTTGACCCTAGGATGACTAAGCAAAACGCATTCAAACGTTGTCCATCATCTGATTCTGTTGAACAGTATTGCCAAAAAATTCAATAGTCGTCCAGCAGGAACAACCATTCGGTGTGTAGCTGTTATTCCACCTAATTAATTACGATGACGGAGACACTGATAGCTTGCCAAAATCCAGAAGGGAGCAGTGGAAATTTTGGGGTTGGGTCGACATCCTAAGTTCGTGCTTTTATCCCAGCGCCACCGTTATCTCACGAAAAATTACGTTTTTGTGTTGCGACAGCTGCATGCCGTGGAGTTGAACGAGATTCTCGCCCACATGTATTCAAAAAAAAAGTACAACAAATTGGTGCTGTACGTGGAGGCTTGCTACTCTGGCTCTTTGTTTCGAAATATTCTTCCTCGAAATGTGGGAAGTAAGTAGATCAAATTTTTGGCTGGCTGTCTTGCAGATCCTGAGTAATAGCGCTCAGAATGTCCTTCAGACATGGTTAAAATAATGCACTTGCCAATACATCAAATCGAAATTCCAAGCTAGGTTCATCCTTTTCTTCTTTGTGATCCTTGTGAAGAAGTAATATTCGGGTTCTGGTCAACAACCAATTAACCGGGGATTGCACAACATTCAGCCTTAAATGATTGTTATTGTTTCTGCTGATGAATTATTTGCATATCGGTGGAGGAAATCATTGTGTAACCCGCATAACACCTGTGATATTTTTGTGTCGCTGTCCAGCAATCACCATTGCAGGTGGATACCATCTTTGTGGATTGTGAATGGATCGTGGCTATTTTATAAAATTTACACTTCAACCCTTCAAACGACAGGTTAGACTCTTACATGGGATCAAAAATACAGATTATACGTTCACATACTGACTGTTTTTACGAGCCGATCAAACCGAACCCAGGGAACTGTCTCGTTCATGAGAGTGTTCGGCCAGTCCATTCGGTCTGAGTTCAAGTTAGAATCAGGTTATATGGAAAGTCGAGGTCTTCGCTTACCTGATTCGCCGGAGGAGGCGTGAAAGCCATGAAATCTGACAACGAGTTGTTATAGACCGTCTGAGAATTGGGTCAGTTCAGATTTCATGTAGATTCATAATTTCTTCGAATCACAGGATCAGTTTACCAATAATTTGCTTCACTATTTTACGCATATTTGATGGTGACCTATACGATCCTTTGTCTGCAGTCTACGTGACAACATCAGCCAAGGAAACTGAACAATCCTGGTCTATTTTTTGTGACGACACGGATATCGATGTTTGTCTAGCGAGCGAATACGCGTACGCCTGGATCGGAGATTCGGAATACGTAAGTATTAGCAAAAAACCGTTGCAGATAAGCCCATCGTTTGTGGAAGGATAATCCGGTGGTGGTCAGGAGCCAGTGGTAGACCACTTGGTAATAAAAGCCACTCATTCGTTCAGTTCTAATGTTTTAGCTATAATCTCTTATTAAATATAAATATTTGGATGAGAGTGGGGCCAGTTATCTTCTGGAGTCTGCAAATACTATTGACGTTTGTGAAAACTCAGGCTGATGTTTTGGATTGTCTTCTGGAACTCGTTTGTTATGCGCCGAGCAGATGTGTGATTTTAATCTCATCCCCCAATTGTCTAGCCCGTTGATGCTTACGCCTATCCAGCTATCATTCTGGTAAGGAAAATTTCGCAGGTTGTCGTTTATTCGGCAACATAGACTTCAACTGCTCCGCCAAATTGAACTTGTCCACTCATCCCAAAATTCAACCTCCGAATACAAATCGAACATATGGTGCCACAAAATTCGATGTGTCAGCTCCGATTTAGTATAAATTGAATCGAGCTTGGCAAAGGTTTTCATTTGGCCTGCAACCTACTCAGCAGTAATTTCCTTCAATTGTGCGGCGCCCTTTGTGAGGCAGGTTATAAATGTTTTATAGACATTTCAGCTCGCAAATGACTACTGACCACTTCCACAAACATCGCCAACGGCGCCATCACCAATTTGGGCATGAAAAAGATTTAGTTGAATTCAGCAATCATGACCGCCCGGTGACCCCAAAATAAGGAAAGCATTAGTTTGATATCTAAGCTTTCTCACTATTCTCACGATCACGCAAACCACTGATTTTGCGGAGGTATGAAGAGGTATGCATGGGGGTGTGAAAGTGTCTATCAAAATCTGGGTGCCAACGGTGTACCTCGGAGACTGCATGAGTGCCACCGTGTTTGGGTATTTTTTCAGAAATTGTGTACTTGAATAAATGTTAGTAGACTTCTTGTTGTCATTTTTAATTCAGGTCGCCTGAGTGAGTGTCTAGGGCTGCCGGGGCATCGGAATCATTGTGGTAGTCCGGCACCAAGATTTTCCTCACCCATTTTAATTCTTGTCTTTGGAATCGGACTATAAATGGATTTCGAATGCGCGCAGGGAATCGCCAGTGTTGAATGCGGATACTGATAAAGATGGCGTGGGTGATCATATTGATGATGATGGTAACAATGGATCTCATGAACGCCATGGTCTCAATAAATCTGTCAAAATAAACCACGAAACGAAGTTGGTCGGATAGACATTCACTCGGGATTTAGGTCATCGTTAATCGATTTCTCACATATCTCGATTCATCACAAATGAATGACATTTATTGGCCACCCTAGCAGACGATACTTTGTTCAAAATATGCATCCGGCATTGCAAAACAAGTTGGCTGAGCTATGCAGTACGTATGTTTAGTTACTAACTGCCGAGAAGGGTGCTGTATTCCATGCCCAGTCCGGAGTGTCATAAACCTAGAGATGAACAGAACTTGACATGACAATAGGGAGCTAAAGATTCTATGAAAAGTTTGAATACTATTGGTGTTTTTCGGCTGTCCGAATGGGGTCAACTTGACACTCCCATTGCTTGGCTAGAGACACCGAATGATATGGCAACCCAGAGTTTTCATCGGCGTCCATGCTGTTTCATGCTGCTCTCTTTCCTGTTACTTTATCCTTCCGCTTTTCACTACAAATAAATTGAAGTGCGCGTACGACAGTGGAGCATCCATATTTTCCTCTGCTTTTACATTATATGAAGATGGTGATGATGATGGCGGTGATCATTTCGAAATAGCATCATATCCCTAAGATATGTCTTCCCGCAACATCAGAGTGGTCACTAATTTAGCAGTAATATGTGTCGTCCCATACCTCGGTTATCTAAATTCTACTGATATTTTCCTGGTTTAGCCTACTGTGAATCAATCTTTAAGTTGCGTAAGCGTATCCGCATACTTCACGTAGCCTCCATTTTTCCTTATCTCTCCATCGCGCGCAGCGTGACTTGAAAACGTGTACACTGGATCAACAATACGAGGAGGTGAAAAAAACCACAGTGAACAGTCACGTGATGAAGTATGGTGAGATGGTGAGTCACACGCAGTCACGGAGAAATTCAGTTGAGTTACTTGTGAAAAAGCAGTGTTATGAATATGAGATGACAGTTACCTTTCGCTATCTTTCAAATGTGGCGGTGGATTTCGAAAGTAGCTGATTTCATATTCCATAGACGAATTTCAGCAAGGGGGCTGGCCTAGTCTTCTAAATATTCAAGCCTAGCCGGTGTCATTTTCCGGCTAACCAAGCAGTGGCGTTGGTACTTCATGCAACATTCGTTCCTCTGCTGAACCAAGCGCACATTCGAAATACACATCGACATTTCGGATACTGCGATTAGGTGCGATACGCTGAAATTTAATCAATGTAGTTTTGAACTTCGTCATGGACCTGAACGAGCACGCTTAGGTGAAAGCACTTGTGATTCGGTGAACAACAATGCTACACACTGATGTTTGCGAAACGGTTCCTGACTGATTGCTTACTGATTGATCGGATCTTTCAACATGAACACGTGAGTATTAGGTGTAAAGCTACGGTTGCAGTGTGTATGAACCAGGATGCCATCTTGTTTGATAATACACTGATAGGTGTCTGTTTATTGTTTATTTCAGGCGATGGGAAGTCTCCCAGTTGGAAAATTCCAAGGTCATTATGATCTGCCGATGCTCGGGATTCATGGTACAATGCGAGTATGTCCTCAGTGCCATGTTCGATATTTGTTCGAAGAACCAAGTGACCACACCATACTACAATGACATTCCAATATGTTGCCACTTCAGAACGCCCACAATCCGTTTTACTATCGCCAAAGTGAGATAATTTATGACTGACTCAATAACCTCAATTAGAAGGTTCTCTTTTGATGGAAACAAGAATTACTTGGGCCAACAACGTTCATCTGGGAAGCCTTTCCCTGTGGTTTGCTCCAGATAACTCAATAGACTGATAAATAAATGCATAGATTTGCAGACAGATAGACAGACAGGGAGAAAGATAGATAGATATATTGATTGATTGACTGATTGATTGATTGATTGATTGATAGACAGATAGATAAATAGATAGGCAGATAGATAGATAGGTAAACAAACAGACAGATAGTTGGATGAATAGTGATCAGTTCACATAAGCAAATCGGAGCGAGCGAATCGCGGATCAAACTCATGGAGCGTCTGATGATTACATGCAGAATGGTCCGTGATAATCGAGCTGATGTGAAAAGCCTATCACTCCAAAAGTCAAGCGTTTCACCGATTGAAATTATCCGTTGATTTCGTGTTATACCCTCCGACCAACCATGGTTTTTACCACTAACCATCATCACCTGCTGGAATCAAGTTGATAACTATTTCTGCAGCAAGGCATTGTCCCATCAAGAATATTGGTTAGATGTGTTCATGGCATAAAACTACACACGATGGTTGAGATTCCGTTTCTACTTACCCCAACATGACTTGTAGGCGACTGAATTTCCGCGACAATTTGCGTATCCCTGGCAACCCAGTGGTATTATGTAGTTTCTTCTTAATAATGAGTATTCTAGGAAGACAATATACCCAGTCAGCATTGTCAGAGCTCCTGTTGGTAGTAAATGTGTCCCAATTGTTTTTTGGTTCCAGCCGAATGCCGTAGATAGACAACCCGCTTCGCTGGCACGTTCGTTGTCAAATTCTCGACGCTTAATGGAGGCAACAACGGAGCAAGAAAACGAAACCGCTTGGCGGAAGCTGCAGCGTTCAACTAAGGTTTGCGGTTTTTTTTGTTTCAATGATCGCCAGCTAAAATCTGAAAGCACGATGAAGGTTGACTTTAGGTAAGACTTGAGTTGTGTAGTACAGAATAGGTGTTGTGAATACATGGGAGCAAATAAACCGTAATCAGTCTTGCATTTCAACGGTCGTTTCATGGTGCTACCCAAAAATTCAACGTGGTTCGTTTTGATATGCTAGAAGACTTCTATAACCATTCTTCCCGCTTCTTTCAGCTTGGCCAAATCATCAAGGAAACGGTTCGCGACATCGTCAGGGACGTGACGAACCGCCATAAATCAACTTTGAAAGGCTTGTCTAAAAGGGATGAGCTCATGTGTTTTCAGGCAGTTTTCGATCAATTCCGGGCGCACTGCTTCACAATTCAGCAGGTAGGGTTGACCTCTGAGGTACGAACACAAGCACTTGCATACGTCACCAGCAAATGCACTCACCCCTGGCGTTACATAAGTCGAGCCCCAGGCCCAAAACTACGTCCAGATAAATCGCCAGCAGACGACCTTTACGGTAGGAACTTTCGGGGCAAATCCGGTACTCACATCACCAGCACCTCCGTTCTCTTTTTGAAATTGGACCTTAATCCCGCAAGATCGTGTTCATTAGTTCAACAATTTGTGGGTTGCTTCCAGAGCCAGGTAAGGTCTAAATTCGTTGTCACAATGGCGTTTCGTTGAAAGCAGAAAATTATTTGGGCAGTTTGGAATTTTAAGCAATCTGAGATGTTATGAAATAGGACCTCATATTCTTTGGAATTTGCATACGGTTATACCAAGATTGAGGGCAGCTAGTGGGAGCTACCTCAGTTTAGTTGAGTTTATTCCAATTCAAGCTTGCTAAAAACCCTTCGATAGCCCATCTTCGCCCATCTTAAGCTCATCACGTGGGCACAGTCCCCGAGTTTCTGTCAACATTATGCTCTACTTGACTCCAGTTCACACCACATCAGTTCAGTTCAGGTCATCTCACTTCAATTCATTTCAGTTCATTTCAGTTCAATTCAGTTCAGCTCAGTTCAGTTCAGTTCAGTTCAGTTTTGTTCAGTTCAGTTTAGTTCTGTTTCATTCAGTTCAGATATTCTCAGTTCAGTTTAGTTCAGTTATTTTATTTCAGTTCAGTTAATTTCAGTCAATTTGCGTTCGGTATTCTAACTCCTCTGGCCAGCCACATTGGCGTTCCTGGAAAGGTTGAACCCCTTGATTGAAAGTGACACGGGCCATTCTTAATGAGGGGCTTTCTTGTTTCAGAATGATCTGTGATTTCAGCGCTGCTACACAATATAGTAAAGCAAGATTTGACAAGCAATTGTGGCTGAAATTGTCGTTCAAAAAGCAGAATTTTGAAAAATATTTACCGACGAAACTGGCGCTCATCTAACAGAATGCTGGAACCATCGGTGGGGTAAAATAGTGGAAGTAGTAGTAGAAGCCCAGTAGGAAACCCATATCTAAATAACTCGGATCATTTCATACGAATACCTTTGTTTCACTCTCAATTTGTGTCATAGCTGGATTGATTCGGCAACCATTTTTAAAGTTCTGTTGACTAAAACTGTGGTTATTCTCTATATGCCGGTAAAAACCCCACCCTTTTACTGAACGAGACCGGCCACTTTAACAGAGACCCGTTCGATTCTACCTGTAAGTAGTTTGCTTGAGAGGTCACGGATGCAACGTTGTACGTACTAACGTCCGACCCTCTGGACTCACGGTACTGTGCACTTTCACACGTTTTCGTAGATGAGTAATTCTGCGAGTAATTTCAGTATTTAAAATTGATCAAGGACAAGCACGCAGCAACACATTTCATTAACGTAACATCTGTCCGAGAGGCATATCATATGAGTATTGATTCCAGAAATCGGTCACTAACTTCAATAACCGCATCGCAGCATTTTTGGTTCTCTTCGCTTGTGAAGCCTTTGCTATGTGGTGTAACAGTTGGCTTTTACTAACTACCGGAGTTTCATTAAATGAACTTGCTTTTGGTCAGCTGCTATCCATTCTTCATATCCTGAGCAATCGATCGCATAAATGGCTGGACTAGAAATTAACATGTCATGTTTTGCCCGGACTAGTCGTGATACGAAAACGACGGAAGCGAATCACGCACCACAGTCCAGCACCGCACCCTGCCAATGTTTCAGATTTACAACTAAAACCACATAAACAACTATCAGATGCCTCCTACTGGAGTAAGAGTTTGTCTCTCATTATCAGAGAATCCGTGGTGTGAGCGTTTGTGGAACCAAAAAACCCATTCTGTACAGAGGATGCCCAGCGAAAAACACAGCTGTTCTACACGTTCGTCTGATTTAATACGATTTGATATAATAGAGGTGGATGGTTAGCCAAAAAGAACATAAACAGGTTCCTGTACTAATTACCAGCTTGTAGAACTTCAGCGGACTATCATCAAAAACAAGGAGCAGGGACACATCGGCGACTAAAAGTTATCCTGGGGACAACTCCAGTGATAACGGTGATCAAAAAGCGAAAGCTTACAGAGCCGCTTTCGGGCGACTAAGTCAGGATGAAAGCGCATTTATGGCTTGACGCTTAGAGCACCGTACCACGGAAAACCTTCAGGACATCAAGACACAGCACCACGACCCAAGACAAATGTCCAAATATCTGGCATGTATTCATGTTATCGAGAAGATATGAACAGACTGAGCATATGAGACCTGATTGGACGAAATTCTGACGCACATTGACTGAACCATGTCGGTAGAATATCATTCGTACCAGGAGGCGCTTAGCGAGAGTGGTGGATAATAAGTTGGAGTTGCATAGGAAAGTGGGACGGGAGAAATGTTAGAACGTTAATATAAACAAATTTGATGCCTGGTTCAAGGGTTCAAATGTCGGCACAAAATTAACAAGAGCTTTTCGTGATCTCATCTGTGAAGGGCGTGAGATATACGTTTCCCACGCATACGGATTTAACAAGACGAACTTGAAATCCAAAATATAGCACAGTATAGCAAGCAGCACGTTTGTATTCCGATTGGCGTATGTGTACGATATATAGAATAATGTGCACAATGCGCACAGGCAACATGCCCGTGCAGCAGGAGCATCTGATCAGCACAGACATTGAGCATGCAAACTTGAGAGCACATTCTGCTGATAGCGCATATTATGTAGTTGATCTAAAGTGGGAAAAGGTATTGACATTGATCACCTGGGCCTTGGATTTTGTGATTTGTGCCCCAGACAAACCGAACGGCATCCCATTTATTAACTTAAGGATATTCTCAAACGTGAGGACTGCAATCTCCCGGCATCTGCCCGGACAGTCTGTTGTCAGCGTTCGGAACGTAAGCCGAACGCCGGGATATATCGGAAGTGCTGGGAGTATCAAACATCTCAACAAACGAAGGGACGGCTACAACCCAATTTGCGGTCCGTTTATTCAACCACAGCACGGAAGTCGGTGACACTGATGGGGCATAAAGTAGGGCAAGGTCGGTTGATTAACTACCAGAAGTGCTTGCAATGATCAAGAACCCTGTTGTTCCCAATTCCAGGCAAACTTTTGGGAAGATTCCCTGATGGGTAGTATATGACAATCTTTTTGTCGAGGATATAACATGATGGCTGCTCTATTGTACGACATGCTCGGGCAAAATCGAGTATCCGAGTGAATCAGAGCAGCACATGGGGATTTCGAACGTGTCAAAGCGTGGATATTGGATCAGCAAACGACCCTCAAACTGACCAGGGTCGAACAGCTGTTGACGATTGCAAATGGCGCTAGTGGTTAATGTGTCGAGAGTCATAAAGCAGAACTAAAGAGTTACCGAATAACCCGGTCGTTTCTTGACTATTGCTGAGCAGAACTATTCGATGAGTTAGAAATTTTGTCCAGAGATTTTTAGAGCTATGGATAAGTTTGGATCATACCTGCTTGAACAAATTTCTCATATCGAAACCGATCACAACCCCCCGGAGTTAGATGGAATAAGTATTGAGAGATAAAGGTGTAGCAAGTAATTGGAACCGCCCTAGAATTACTCGGATCGGTTAAGTCAGAGTGAATCTGGCATAATTTCTTGGAAGATCGCCGATTCTGATGTTGTGCTGACCATGCCAATACGCGTCTTGAGACGAAAGCTGATTGTCAAGTGTCATGTGATGACACATAAAGAGGATAGACCAAGACACAATACTCACATCGGCGGAGGGCTCATAGGCCCAAGATTAGTGGTGAGATGTATTATGTAGTGTCCTTCAAGTGACGCCAGTTCATAAAATGTGATAAGACAAGAGCAATTTGGTAATTTTGGTTTGGAAGATTTGGTTTGGTTTTTTAAGAGATACCTTAAAACCAGCTAAATCTCTCGTTTGTGATAATTCCAGACAATTGAACATGCTGCAACAGGTTGCGTCATGTTTGAGTGGCCAAGATATTCGAGATACATCGTGATACATATATATTTGTAGTGCGATTTCATAACGTCACTGGAAGTTCGCCGACAACCCACGAGCGGTTTTGCACTTCTTGGGGCTCATCAGTTAGGCGAAGTCCCCGATGAAGGGGTGACAGGTGGCCGAAGGAGGCCAAAGCTGGCTATTGCAGATATTCATTATGTGTGTCGCTGGATAGTAGCACGTAGAACGTTGAATCTCTCCGAAATCAATGATCCGAATGTTCACCGCCTTGATCAAGTTCATGTCGATCTTCAAGCTAACGAAATTGCGTATCACCGGTGAGTAACAAGGCTCTAGGGAGTGCCTGTTGAATTCGTTCATTCTGGAAATCACACTACTCACAAGTTTGCTGAAAATC